GGTGTGACAGGTGGTGTGACAGGTGATGGTGTGACAGGTGGTGTGACATGTGATGATGTGACAGGTGATGGTGTGACAGGTGATGGTGTGACATCTGATGATGTGAGAGGTGATGATGTGACAGGTGATGGTGTGAGAGGTGATGATGTGACATCTGATGATGTGACAGGTGATGGTGTGAGAGGTGATGGTGTGACATCTGATGATGTGACAGGTGATGGTGTGACATCTGATGGTGTGACAGGTGGTGTGACAGGTGATGGTGTGACAGGTGATGTGACAGGTGATGGTGTGACAGGTGGTGTGACATGTGATGATGTGACAGGTGATGGTGTGAGAGGTGATGGTGTGACATCTGATGATGTGAGAGGTGATGATGTGACAGGTGATGGTGTGAGAGGTGATGGTGTGACATCTGATGATGTGACAGGTGATGGTGTGACAGGTGGTGTGACATGATGGTGTGACATCTGATGATGTGACATCTGATGATGTGACAGGTGATGGTGTGACATCTGATGGTGTGACAGGTGATGATGTGACAGGTGATGGTGTGACATGTGATGGTTAGACAGGTGATGGTGTGACAAGTGACAGGTGAAGGTGTGACATGTGATGTGTGACATGTGATGATGTGACGTAATGGTGTGACAGGTGATGGTGTGACATCTGATGATGTGACATCTGACGGTTTGACAGGTGATGATGTGACAGGTGATGGTGTGACAGGTGATGGTGTGACTTGTGATGGTGTGACAAGTGACAGGTGATGGTGTGACAGGTGGTGTGACATGTGATGGTGTGACAAGTGACAGGTGATGGTGTGACAGGTGGTGTGACATGTGATGGTGTGACAAGTGACAGGTGATGGTGTGACATGTGACAGGTGATGGTGTGACATCTGATGGTGTGACAGGTGATGATGTGACAGGTGATGGTGTGACATGTGACAGGTGATGGTATGACATGATGGCTAGACAGGTGATGATGTGACAGGCGATGGTGTGACAAGTGACAGGTGATGGTATGACGTGATGTGTGACATGCGATGGTGTGACGTGATGATGTGACGTGATAATGTGACAGGTGATGATATGACAGGTGATGGTGTGACATGTGATGGTGTGACAAGTGACAGGTGACGGTGTGACAAGTGACAGGTGATGGTGTGACAGGTGGTGTGACGTGATGGTGTGACATGTGACAGGTGATGGTGTGACATCTGATGGTGTGACAGGTGATGATGTGACAGGTGATGGTGTGACAGGTGATGGTGTGACGTGATGGTGTGACAAGTGACAGGTGATGGTGTGACAAGTGACAGGTGATGGTGTGACGTGATATGTGACATGCGATGGTGTGATGTGATGATGTGACGTGATAATGTGACAGGTGATGATGTGACAGGTGATGATGTAACATGATGGTGTGACAGGTGATGATGTGAGATATGATGATGTGACAGGTGATGGTGTGACAGGTGGTGTGACATGTGATGGTGTGACATCTGATGATGTGACAGGTGATGGTGTGACATGTGATGGTGTGACATCTGATGATGTGACAGGTGATGGTGTGACATGTGATGGTGTGACATCTGATGATGTGACAGGTGATGGTATGACATGTGATGGTTAGACAGGTGATGGTGTGACGTGATGGTTAGACAGGTGATGGTGTGACAGGTGATGATGTGACAGGTGATGGTGTGACAGGTGATGGTGTGACAAGGGACAGGTGAAGGTGACATGTGATGTGTGACATGCGATGATGTGACGTGATGGTGTGACATCTGATGATGTGACATCTGATGGTGTGACAGGTGATGGTGTGACAAGTAACAGGTGACGGTGTGACAAGTGACAGGTGATGGTGTGACAGGTGGTCTGACATGTGATGGTGTGACAGGTGGTGTGACATGTGATGGTGTGACAGGTGATGGTGTGACATCTGATGGTGTGACAGGTGAGGATGTGACAGGTGATGGTGTGACAAGTGACAGGTGATGGTGTGACATCTGATGGTGTGACAGGTGAGGATGTGACAGGTGATGGTGTGACAAGTGACAGGTGATGGTGTGACTTGTGATGTGTGACATGCGATGGTGTGACGTGATGATGTGACGTGATAATGTGACAGGTGATGATGTGACAGGTGATGGTGTGACAGGTGATGATGTGACATGTGATGGTGCCAGGTACAGATACAATAGGCCCGTTTCCACCGCAGGAACTTCGGGGTAATTTTACGGGGCTGGGGCCGTTGGTGCGTGTCTCCACCGCAGGAACCACCCCTGAAGGACAGAGTTCTGGAACTTTTACAGGGGCTAAAAAAGTCCCTGCCTCGGAGTAGGTACTCAGAACGGCCCAAAAAAACTCCTGGCTGGGGCTTAGGGATTACTTGGTGCTGATTGGATATACTCAAGGCGGGATGTGACGTCAACAGAAAGTGACAAAATAGCCGGCATTTTTAAAACTCAGCAGACGAGGGTTAGCTTGTTCATACCTTTCACCGCCATGTAAATGCCGAGACATGCCAGAAACCCAGCAACCACCTCAGCTCCTTCCATGTTGATTATCGTCTTTCTTAATGTCTGCTTTCTTCTTCTTACCTCTGCTTCGTACTTATGCTTCTTCTTCTTTGTTGTTGTTCGTCTTTGTTTGTTTCTGGGGGGCGGCAGTAGCTCAGTCCATAGGGACTTGGGTTGTGAACCGGAGGGTCGCCTGTCGAGTCCTCGTCTGGACCAAAATATGGAGCGTGGACTGGTGGCTGGAGAGGTGCCAGTTCACCTCCTGGGCACTGCCGAGGTGCCCTTGAGCAAGGCACCGAACCCCCCAACCGCTCGGGGCGCCTGACTAAGGGCAGCCCCCTCACTCTGACATCTCTCTACTTTGTGCATGTAAAGGTCCTGTTTGTGCATGTGTGTCTTTCAGACCTGTGTGTTAATGACAACAGAGTGAAAACACTGAATTTCCTCTCAGGAGGATTAATAAAGTAAATAAACTTAAATTAACTTAAACGTCTTTGCTGCGTCGCCCTGGTCAAAATGGTCGTGCAACGATTACATCACATCCAGAGCCTGGTAACTTTACAGGAACCTTCCTCCTACTCCGCCGCACAGTGGAGACACGGTGGTTGAGAGGGCAGAGCGAGAGGACGTTACTGTAGTAGTTCCTGCCCCCCAAATAGTACCAGGAACTTCAGTGGAAACGGGCCTATATAATCAGATACAGTCAGAAAGTGTCGAGATAAAAAAAACCCTCAGTGTCTGTTTTTTGTCACGTCTTTATTTGTTTCATTTTTCAGTCAAACGTTCCCTGTCAGTAAACTTGGATAACCTCCGCCCACTTGGTCTGAGGCCACACCCCATTTTCCTGTACGTTGCTAGGCGACGACTTCCAGTCCCAGCTCCTCACCGGGACACTCCATGTGGCGCCGTAGTTCGCCGTCACATAGTCCAGCGTTTCACAAGGAACGCGAACTTTCAGCTCCAGAAGCTCTGCCCAGCAGAGTGTGAAACGAGGGAAGAAGTACCTGAAGAAAAAAAAAACTTTATTTAAAACATTTTTAACTGCAAACAGTCAAACACACCAACGTCACTGTAATGATGTCACTGACTCATGTTTCCCAACAGGTGGTCGCAGGTCCGCTCTGATTGGATGGCAGGTAAAAAACAATCTTTATTTTGAAGTCCAGGGAATTAATAACAGAGCTTTTATTTTGAAGAGCTGTTTCCTGCTGCAGAGTGACAGACGGACAGGTGTGAACCTCCATGGGAAGCCAAAAGTACCAGGATGTTCCTCTGCAGCAGGTCACAGTTTACTGTCTGTTCTCAAAGAGCATGGACACCAAGAGGCAAAGCTCAACAGAACGCCCCATAGCAACAGACTCGCCCATGGTTTCGTCCTACCGCCGCCATTTTGGACTGTCAGCAGACCGCAGCAGACCCGCTTGCATACAAAAACACACAGACAAACTGAAGTATATCACTATTAATTATGCTTACAATGCTACTCACCTCGTAATAGCTTGGTCACAGCTGCTTTTTCATATTTTTGTAAAGCAAAATATAGACTTTAAAAAAAACAAAATGAGGAGAAACGGCCGAGATGGCATCTCTACATATTACATCCACTTATGAGAAGATTAACTTAATTACTCCTTCAAAATCACCCCATAAGCCAATCTACCAAAAAAAATAAATAAATACCAAAAAAAAAAAAAAAAAAAAAATATTTTAACTAGAAACACATTAATGGTGATGTCACATAGTCAGGAATAAAGATTTATTTACAGTTTGTACAGTAAGGGGACAGTAATAATAATAATAATAATAATAATAATAATAATAACATATAGGCTATTTTGGTCCTGCCAGATGCCTCCTGCTGCTGCTGCTGCCATCATTAGTCATTAGTCATACTTCTACTGTTATTATACACATATGACTATTGTCACACATGTATACTGCCAGATATTAATACATACTTTCAACATATTGTACCACAGTAGCCAGAACTATAACTATAATATTATTACTTTCAATAATGTTGTTGTAAGCTACTGTTATTACCTGCATCTCTCTCTCTCTCTCTCTCTCTCTCTCTCTGTCTCTCTCTCTCATTGTGTCATATGGATTACTGTTAATTTATTATGCTGATCTGTTCTGTACGACATCTATTGCACGTCTGTCCGTCCTGGAAGAGGGATCCCTCCTCAGTTGCTCTTCCTGAGGTTTCTACCGTTTTTTTTTCCCCGTTAAAGGGTTTTTTTTTTGGGGGGAGTTTTTCCTGATCAGCTGTGAGGGTCATAAGGACAGAGGGATGTCATATGCTGTAAAGCCCTGTGAGGCAAATTGTGATTTGTGATATTGGGCTTTATAAATAAAATTGATTGATTGATTGATTGATATTTTAATATGATATATTTTAATGCTAAAGCAGTAATCAGTTCTGATATAAATGATCCAAGAAGCCATATATAGGCCTATATATACATATATACATATATCTTCCCACGAAAACTGGCATATTAAATTGATATTAAAACACTTGAAAACGTACACCTCTGTTGGGATCCTTCGGGAAACGGTGGAAGGCCAGGTGCGGGGTGTTCCACCAATAGTTGTTGCAGTTAATTGCACTACACTGTTTTCTTTTACTTTTTTCCTCCTCTCTCCGTGACATTTTGCATGTTGTCTGGGCGCAACAGTCCAAGCTCAACAGTCCAAAATGGCGTTAGCTCCCCTAGTGGCTGTTGGCAGAAATTCAACGGAGCTTCGCCTCTTGGTATCCATGCTCTTTGGTTCTGGCCCACAATCTTCTGCAGCTGACGACACGTCACATCGACTGAGCCGCAGACAGTTGACAGTTGACAGATGATTGACAGGTGACAGATGATTGACAGGCGACAAATGACCAGTCGAATATTAATAACATGAATATTAATTAATTAATGAAATAAACAAAATATTAAAGCTGCAAGCAGCAATGAACGGGCCCTCGCACCTTCACACAACTCGGGGGTGCTGGCAGGACGCAGGCTAACGCATCAGTTCATTTCTGTCAAAGTCAGACGGTACATAAAGGAGTGAGATGGCATATCCTTCATTCAGTCCTGAGATGACTATTTCACATTTTGTACCACTTCCTCTTCCCACTAGAGGGAGTCAGAGAAGGAACTAATGATATATGATGTTCCTATATATAAAATATAGACCACAGCATGTAAATGTCAGATAAATCAAAAAATAAATGTTCGAAAAGACATACTTCCTGTTGTAGCTAGGTGGCTCTGTACTAATCACTGAATATTGACACATAGATCTGTCCAGGGTGGGACTCTCATCAATCCTGTGAAATTTGGGTAAGATCGGACCGTGTATGCTGGAGTTATAAACTACTTCCTGTTGCATAGCGACACATGCAAGTTTAACGCCTTGCCACGGTCACATGGTTTGATGAAAACTCAAGCTTTTTAGCTATAACTTTTCTTCTTCAAGGTCTTTCAGTGGGACAGACCAACATTTGAAGTCAATTGAATAAAATCTGTAGGACAACTTCTTTAATTTACAAGCCCTGGAAATGGCCAAAAATGCACAAAAGTGGTAGTAAGCAAATTCAAAATGGCGGACTTCCTGTTGGGTTTGGAGCATGGGTCCAAGAGGCTTTTTTGTACGTCTTAAAGTGTTACAGGTGCCTACCAAGTTTCATACATGCAGGTCAAATCAGCTTTGGGGGCTGCTTAATTGAAATATTCAAGGGAGCGCTGTTGAGCCATCTTGGTGCATCAAAGCACAAAAATCACATCAGACAACAGGACCTGCGACCTGTGATGTGTATGCCACGTTTGGTGAGTTTTCAAGCATCCCTTGTCCCTTCAAAACAACATAGAATAGAATAGTAGAATAGAATAGAATAGAACCAACTTTATTGATCCCACGAGGGGCAATTCGTTTGTAGCTTCCCCATCCCACAATATACAAACAACAACACACTAATCCATACCAAGCACAGTCCAGGCCGTGGCCACGCCCTTTGACGAAAACTCAGTTTCCACAATAAAGCATGATCAAGGTCTTACGGCTTTTTTGACCAAGTTTGAGTACGATGTGGTCAACTTTGTAGGAGACATTCATCAAAGTCTAAAACATGACATTTCCTGTTGCCAGTAAGGGGCGCTATATTTATCTCTAATTATTGACATGTAGATGTGTTCAGGATGGGACTGTCATCAATCCTGTGAAGTTTGGGCAAGATTGGACCATGTAAGCAAGAGTTATAAACTACTTCCTGTTTAGTGGCGAGACCCCTAACTTTGACGCCATCCCACAGTCACACGCATTGACGAAAACTCAAGCTTTTGATAACTTTTCATCTTCAAGGTCTTGGGGTGGGACAGACCAAGGTTTGAAGTCGATCGGATGAAATCTCTAGGACTAGTTCATTCATTTAAGACCCCTGGAAATGGCCAAAAATGCACCAAAATTGCACAGTAAATTCAAAATGGCCGACTTCCTGTTGGGTTTAGAGCATGCCTCCAAGAAGCTTTTTATGTCTCGGAGTGTTACATATGCCTACCAAGTTTCATACTCCTGGGTTAAACCAGCTTTGGGGGCTGTTTTGTTGAAATTTTGTGGGGGGCGCTACTGAGCCATTTTTTGGAACTGAAGGGTGAGACCCTTAAAATATGAAATTTTTCACAGGTTCTGATGTATCTGCAGTTTCATGAAATTTATTTGTAAGAAGAAGAAGAAGAAGAAGAAGAAGAATTCCTTGCATTTCAATAGGGTCCACCCTAAATATAAATATAAGAAAGAAAGACCTTCTATTCTGTCAGGACATTATTTGCTAAACTAACTACCATCTAAGTTTAATACTCGAATAGCTGAAGAGATAAAAGATTTAGAGTAGCCATTAGTCTTGCTCAGAGGTACAAGGTATCGACGACCAGAAGGCAACAGTGAAAACTCTTGAGACAGGACATGGAGACGTTGATTAATAATGCTCTTCCTCTTCTCAACCATCTGATTCTCCCAGAGGGACAGACAGACAGACAGAAGGACAGACAGACAGACAGAAGGACAGAGGGACAGACAGAAGGACAGAGGGACAGGAGGACAGAGGGACAGAAGGACAGAGGGACAGACAGAAGGACAGGAGGACAGAGGGACAGGAGGACAGAGGGACAGAGGGACAGACAGAAGGACAGGAGGACAGAGGGACAGACAGAAGGACAGGAGGACAGAGGGACAAACATGGGGACGGGAGGACAGAGGGACAGGAGAACAGAGGGACAGACAGGGGGACAGGAGGACAGAGGGACAGGAGAACAGAGGGACAGACAGGGGGACAGGAGGACAGAGGGACAGGAGAACAGAGGGACAGAGGCAATGCAGGTATTTTGGAGCAAGCCTTAACTCTGCTCTGAATGCTGTTCTTATCCTTAACAGAGAGAATATTAAAGCATCAGATAAAAGAAAAAGTTCAAAGACTTTCAATGAAAGAACAATAAAAACAACTCAAGATTTTCCCATTGACATTAAAGGAATTCAACTTCCTCAGCAGGTAAATCCTCTGCTGACCTTTCTTGACAATAGACTCTGTGTTCATATTGAACTTCAGTTTACAGTCAGACACAGCACCCAGGTGTTTGTAAGACACCACAATCTGAACATTTCCACCATGAATGACACTGACCTGATGATCACTGTGAAACCTAAAGTCAATTATCATGTCCTTGGTTTTAGAAACATTTAAATCGAGCTAACTGCCATCTCACCATTTCACAAAATCGTGTAATGCAGGACCATGATCACTGTCAGAGCGCTGCAGTAAAGATAAGAGGACAGTGTCATCAGAAAGCTTCACCAGATGCCTGTTGACTTGAGAAGATCTGCAGCTGTCAGTATACAGAATAAATAATAAATAAGAGAGGTGACAACACACAACCTTGAGGAGAGCCAGTGGTAAAAATGGACATGTTACACATTTGTCCATTGACAAAGACCTGCTGGACCCTCTCAGTGAGAAAAT